AAGAAAAACAAAATTAGGGACTATTTTATTGTCACTAATCTCATATTCCTTTGGTTTTATTTTGACTCTTTAAACATTTCTTAAGCTATAAATATTATATCAAAATTTATAAGATTAATATATAAGTATATATATTTTAAAGTTTTATAATGATATTAATGGGCATATAGAGTACTAATTCTAGAAAAAGGCTTGATCTAGATTCCTGTATATGATTTCAAATTTGAGTCTCTATCAGTTTTCTGCAGTGAGCTATGGCTATGCCTGCCAGCAACCTTTGAAGTCTCCAAAAGCATGATGGGGTCCCACAACAGTGATTCCACCAGGACTACAATAATACCACTAAGCTGAAAAAACACCAGCTACATATAGGCTTTATAATACAAACTGCTCGGGATAATTTTGAGGTGACTGTCTAGGAAGTTAGCTGTTTCTATCATCTCTCACAATTTTTAGAAATTACTTTCTTGCACTACCTCCTTCTCAGGTCTCTGAGGGAGTTGAATACTAGATAGTTTCAACTACAGTTTTCCTTGTTCACCAGACTCAGAAAAGAAACTCAGTAAAGAAATGTAAAGTATATAAGAGACATTAAAAGATAATTTTGATAATACAAATTAAAAGAAAATCAAATTAGGTACAAGACTTTGCACTCACCAAGATAGGATAATGGAATATATACTCTGAATTTGTTAAAACTAGACATTGTTGATGTATTTATTGCCTGTATATTTTATATAGTTATTGTACTTATTGTATATACATGTCTTATATTAGTTTTAACCTTTTTTATTTTATACAAAAAGGGGAATGTGGTAATATTTTGTTCGTGATTTAACAAATCAAGCTTGCCTGAAGGTCAGAGTGCAGAGCTAACCACACTAGTTAGCCATAGATCCCATTCACTGGTGACACACACCTTTAATCCCAGCACTCTCGAGGCAGAGGAAGGCTGATCTCTGTGAGTTCGAGGCCACCCGGGCTACATCAGACTGATCCAGTGTAAAAGAAAAACATATCCAGGTGGTGGTGGTTCACACCTTTAACTCCAATATTTAGGAGTCGCATGCCTTTAATGCCAGCACTAGGGAGGTGGAGACAGGAGTGATATGCCTGAGCAGAGAGAGGAATATACAGTAGGAGGAGAGAGAAGCTCATTGCATTCAGTCTGAGGATTCACAGGGATAGAGTTGCCCCTTTGGACTGAGGATTTGATAAACATAAAAGGTCTCTCTTGTGTCTGGCTCCTTTACTTCTCTGACTTTTCAGCATTTACCCTGATACCTGTCTCCAGGTTTCTATTATTAAGAACTATTAGAACACTTGCTGAAGGGTAGTGTCAGCTCTCCCACTCTTGTGCCCTGAGGACCAGTTTTCCTGCCTGCTGTGGGTGGCAAGGGGCAACTGTTTAAGTTATTGATCTCTTCTTGGTTTAACCTCAGTGGTTTGAATGAATCTAGGAACTCATTCATCTCTTTTGGATATTCTAACTTAATGAGTATAGTTTTTTAAATATTCCCCTAAAATATTCTCAGTTTCTCTGGTGCTTGTTATATTGTTTCCCTATTTATCTCTGATTCTGTTAATTTGGGTTGTTTCTTTCTTTTGGCTAATAGGGCACATGATCTGTCAATTGTGTTTATTTTTTCAAAGACTGAGCTCTTCATCCATTGATACTCCATTTTGTTTTCTTTGATTATGTTCAATATCTTTTATTTTTCATTATATCATCTACTAGATTGGTTTGTTTACATTTTTCCAAATTCTTGAAACTTTGTCATTAAGTAATTTGTGCTATTTCTGATTTTAAATATAGATGTTTAGAACTATACATTTTCTTTTTAGGATTACTTTTGATGTTTCCCAAAGATTTTGTTGTCACTTTCATTTAATCTCAAGAATTTTTAAAATTTCTTTCTTGATTTCTTCTTCAATCCATTTATTATTAAGTAATGTGTCATTTAATCTTCGTGAGTTTGTGTAATTACTAGATTCATTTGCTGTTAATAAACTTCATTGCGTTTTGTGTCCTAGGATGTGGTTTTATTTCAGAGCATGAGTGGCCAAGTAGAATGTATATTCTTTGATGTTTAGGTTCAATATTCTGTTGATACTTGTTAGTTTCATTTGATGTATGATATCATTTAATTCTATTGTTTACTTTTTGTTCATATGATTTATCTTTTGAAGAAAATGAGGTATTGGAGTCGTCTACTATGATTGAGGTGGACTTACTCTGTGTATTTAATTCCAATATTATGATTTTTATGAAATTGCTCACACCAGAATTTGGTATATATTTAGGATTGCAATATCTTCGTATTTAATTGTTCCCTCGTTTTAAATAATGTGTTATTCTTTTATCTCTTTTGATTTATTTTAGTGTGAAGTCCATGTTGACATATATTAAGATTAGTGACACCAGCTTGCTCCCTGCTTCCATTTGCTTGGAATTGTTTTTTTCAATCCTTTCATTTCAATGTGGTTCCTATCATTGAGAGTAATTTCATTTTTTTGTAGTCGACAAAAGCTTGAGTTTCTTGTAGACAACAAGATGATTTTATTTTATAATTCATTTAAATAATCTGTGTACTCTGATTGTCAAGTTGAGGCCACTAATATTTTTAAGTTATTATTGAAAAGTGTGTTGGTTCCAGCCATTTTTTGTAGTTGTTTCTTGTTGTTTGTGTTCTTAGTTATACTTTGTATCTCAGTACTTAGAACTAAATTTATTTTCTTTCTATAATTTCTTAGCTATGTTTATTTCTGTCTGAAGCATTGCTTCCTGTATTCTCTATAGTGCTAGTGGGTGGATATATTTTTAGCATATTTCTATCACTGAAACATAGTCTTTGTCCTTCAACTACAGCACATAGTTTTGCTGCATAAAGTAGTTGAAGTTAATATTAGTGGCCTTTTAGAACTTGGAGTACAGTTCTCCAAGCTCCTATGTTTCTAAAAATTCCATTTAGAAATAAGCTGTTTTTAGAGGGATTTTCCTTTATATGTGACTTATATTTTTTCTTGCAGCTCTCATAGCCTGTATTTATAAATTCTGTATTACTGTTTTAACTATAATATGCCACTAGAATTTATTAACTGATCCTGTCTAGTTGGTACTCTGTGTACTTCTTGTATCCGTATGGGTATGTTTGTAATTTTCTTCCATGAGCCTATTGAAGATCTGGTCTATGCCTTTAATCCAGGATTCTTTTTCTTCTTCTATGCTCACAATTCAGAAATCTTATCTTTTCATGGTTTCATATAGTTCCTGAGTGTTTTCCTCCTGTGGTTTTTTGTTGGTTTCTTTTCTATTTTATTTACTTGATTGCTTCAATTACTATACTTTTTCTTCAGGACTTGGTATTCATTTTTGTGCATTACCAAATTTAATTTTCATAACAATAATTTTAAGTAAGCCTAGATCCACACATACCAAAAAATGAAAATAAAATAAAGATACAGAATTTCAGGCACAGCTAGTGAATGTCAAAAGCTGAATTTGACAATGGCAGTCTTATTGAGAGTAAAAAATATATTGTACGAGTTATGAATTGTCCATTTTTAGTTTATTCTTCTCTCATATATCACATCCCAACTACAGTTTCCTCTTCCTCCTCTCTTCCAAGTCCCCCCTTCCCTCTGCCCCTCATCTACTCCTTCTCCTTTCCCTTCAGAAAAGGGCAGGTCTCCCTAAGGATAGCAACCAAACATGGCATTTCAAGCTATAATAAAACTAGGCACATCCCCTTATATCAAGGCTGGGCTAGGCAACCCAGTAGAAGGAGAAGGTTCCTAAAGCAGGCAAAAGAGTCAGAAACAGCCCTCCACTCCCACTGTTAGGAGTCCCACAGGAACACCAAGGTACACGGCCATAACATATATGCAGAGGACCTAGAGAGCAATGAAAGACATACAGTGGGATACCTTGCTCAGCCATGATACAGGGGGGAGGGGCTTGGTCCTGCTGCAAGTTGGTATTTCAGATTTTGTTGACTCCCAAAGAAGGCCTTACCCTCTCTGAGGAATAGATGGGGGATGGAAGGGGGGAAGTGGGGATGGTGGGAAAAAGGGAGGGGGAACTGGGGTTGGTATGTAAAATGAAAAATAAAATTTAAAAAAACCCGTTTGACACCCCCAGGGGGTTACAATGCACAGGTTGAGGAAATGCTGCTCTGGGGTCTCTTTGACTAATAACACATAGTGTTCAGCACTGGGATTTTTATTTAATAATTCATGTCTTCTGAGAATAGCAGCAGTGTCCACCCATGCAGGACACCTGTGTTCAAACTCCTTTGTCTTTAAATCATATTTTAAAATTTGCTTGCACGATGGTAGTTTTCCTTAGGCATCTTTATAGATCCTTGGCTAAGGCCCCCCATCATCCTCTCCCACTCCCCCCTCCACAGTTATTTTGTATCATATGTGACCAAATGAGTTTTTATTCCAAGTTAGAAAAAAAAAAGTAAGATGTCTTTTGGTTCAGACCTCTAGTTGGTTTCCCAGGGACAGAAGTATGCTTTAGCCTGGGGCACTGGTGAGGCCGATAATAGGTGCTCACATCTCGGTTCTCCAAGGAACTCCATGAAGCATTGAGAGAAAAACACAGGAGAGGCATTAAGAGCCCGCTCTTCAGACTGTTGCTAGGCGACCTGTCCCCTCTCCAGCTGCAATACTTTCCACTGGCTTCAGAAAAGGAGGGGGAACTGAAGCTTAGCAGAGGTGGAGTGCAGGGAGGGCCAGGCACTGTCCAGCTTCCTCCCTGGTGTGTGAACTCAGTATCCCTCCGCTGCTCTCTCCTGCTCCCCAGCTCCAAAGATCCTCTCTCTATAGTCCCTCACTCCAATGCCATCAGAGACCCTAACTCTCACTGCAGTGATCCCAGCAAAGCGGTGGTGGTCTGTGGTTAGGGTGAGCAGGGGGTCTGCAGACGCCCACGGGTGCCGCCCTCCCCTCCCTCCGAGTGGAGCGGGCTGTCTCCGGCCCCGCCCACCCCGAGTCGGAACTACGGTGGGCCCGGGAGGGGGCGTCGAGCCCGGTGCGCCATATCCCTCCGCCCCCTTCCCGACACCCTCGAGGCGAGCTGTGCCTGCCGCATCCTGCGCAGCAGCCCCTGCCCGTTTGGTGCAGAGGCGTGGGGGCGGGACGCGTCTCTGCCATCACACTCGCGCGCAAAGCCCAGGGAGAGGAGCTGCGGAGGACGGAGCCCAGCCAGGAGCGGACGGGGACGCGGGGCAGCCCGGGGACCTGGGCCGTGCGCCTGGCCAGGCAAGTGGGGGTGTGTCGAGGGCTCGGGGCGGCCTCGCACTGCGGACCCTCGCCCGGCCCTGACAGGGAGTGCAGCAGTGGGGGCGACCGGGGCTTCCTGGAGTGGTGCGCGGTTCCCGGAGATCCCAGGCGGTGAGGGGCAAGCGGGGTCCCGGGTCGGGTCTCAGGCACAGGGCTGTGAGCGTTTGGAGGCCTGCGGAGCAGATGACTGGACAGCAGGCTGTTCCCCACCCTTTTTGGTATCTGGGCCCTGCGAAGGTTGTGGGGGAGGCGCCTGCGGGAGAAATGGCGGCGCGGGAGCTGGGGAGTGTGGTGCCCCTTGGAGGTCTCCGTCCGTGGATTGGGGGCAGGTGTCTAACTCTGGGGGTAGCTTAATTTTTCGGTGGTGAGTAGCCTTGCTACTTGGGCCTTATTCCAGAAGGAGGCCCTTGTGTCCTGCGTCGTGGGTGCTGTCTCTTCCCACAGGCTTCTGCTTGGTGGCAAAGTCTCCTGTCTGAGTCGTAGGAGTGGTGCATTCTGGGGAAGGGGAAACATAATTAGAGGGACTATTATGTATTATGAAGGCACCAGAACATAAGAATGAAATGTTCGTTTGCCTTCAATACAGGATTGTTTTATTCCCTTCTATATGTAGAATCGTGTGCTTAATTTACTGCAAGCAAATGGTCATGATAAGGAGTTGGTCATATTACAGAACTCCTGGCTATATAAATATTGTGATATTAACCTATCTTTTATACTCAGGGTCCATTTTCTCAGCATTCTGTTTCACTCTGAACATTTTTTGACATGTTCGAATGGAAGTTAACGTAAAGGAGAAGTTTTTGTGCAGGTGAGTGTTTGATTTAGAATATTTGAAATCACTATAGGATTTAAGTATCTGTTTATGGGACCCCATATATTACCTGCAGCTACTTTTCGTAATCCTTCATATATTTTTGTACAGAAGTAGTATCACAGAAAATGCGCTATTTCTGAAGGTAGGCATCAGAATCACAGGAGAGTTAACAGAGTTCATTTACTTGTTTTCTGATTCTCTAAAAGGAGGTGTTTGAACTTGGGTTTGAAAATCTGCCCATAAGCCTAATAATTTTATGCCATGGTCAACATGCTTTCTTGTATGTTTTTCTCAGTATCTTTTGGTTTCTATAGGTTGACTCTTCTCCAGCCAGAGAACCCTTCTTTATTGGGAAGGATAGTGTCTCCCGTGGATCCTGCTCTTTGATGAGTCTGGCATTGTTAGCACCTGAGGTAAGATCTAGGTAGAGCGGTGTTTCTCAAACTTCGGGTTGCAACCCCTTTGGGGGGGTCTAATGACCCTTTCGCAGGGGTCACATCAGATATCCTGCATATCATATATTTACATTAAGATTCATAATATCTAGAACTCTTCACAGGTCTTCCCTTAATTAGTGGGGTCAGGATTTGGTAGCTGGTGCTGATAGAAAACCCTTGATTACATCATTGTCCTGATACTGTACCATCGACAACTGTTACTCAAGGGAACAGTGATGGGAAAAAAAAGGATTCATAAGATCAGTAAACTTACAGTTATGAGGTAGCAATGATATACATTTTATAATTGGGGGTCACCACAACATGTATTAAAGGGTTGCAGCATTAGGAAGGTCGAGAACCACTGCTGTAGAGACTTGCAGGTAGCTGTTTACTTAGGATTTGAGGTGAGTACGAATGGGAGTGTAAGCACACCTGTCAATCGGTGGCAAGTGGGAGACACCAGATCTTCCCGGACCCATTGTTTTCTAACTTTCCAGATGTTGCTGCCCACACACTCATTACAGAAAGCGGGAGAATAGTGAGCTAAGCTTGCGTCCATATGTATTTAGTAGATACTGGGTCAGAAAATGGGGAGAGAATCCATAAGAGAGAACAGGGTGGAGGAGTATTAAGATATCTGGAGATAGAAGGTTAGATTAGTCTGTCAGATACTCAAAATTCTAATCCCACGTGTACTTTTGTCTATAGCTCTGCCTGTGAAGTCATTTGGGTGGCTTTTCAACAGTAAAAGTGAGGAAGGAGGAAACAATCACGTCACATCAGCGCACGTTGGTGTGAGGCCTTTCTGAAGACATAGTAGTTCCTGGTGGTAGGTGCCAGCATGGGACCAAAGGGGCTGGGTGCTCTATGGCCTCTCCTACTTTAAGCAAACTTAGCTATTGTCACTGTTGTGCTTGACGGAGACAAAAGAGTGGGAGGACTTGGGCTGGTTGCAAGAATGCAAGAAATAAAATGAGGTAGCAGAATTTTTGACTGATCTGCATCTCCCACGACACAGTTCAAATCTTCATTCATGTCCTTCTGTGTAGCTGTCTGTATAAAGAACGAAGGTTGAAGACACTCAGAGTCTATTTTTCCCACCTTAGGTGTCTCGCCAGTGGTAGCCTTGGATTGGCAGAAGATTGCTTTCACCGGGTCTGATTTGGAAATCATCTTCCTAACCTGAGTGTCTTTACTCTGTCCCTGTCATTGACAGAGACTGTGTGTCAAAGAAAGGGAATTCTGTAACTGCTAAACTGACAGTTGTCTTTGACCTCTTTCGAGATACTAGCCTGGACCAAACAGAGAACTAAGGTTAAGACGGGCCAGGTGTCTATAGCTGTGCTTCAACCATGACGGGTTCAAAGAATAAGGCTAGAGCACAGGCTAAACTAGACAAAAGGGCAAGTGCACAAGCCAGAGCTTTAGCAGAGAGGGAGGCTGCTAATGCAGGCAGAGCTGGAGGCAAACACAGGGACAAAGCAAAAGCTAGGGCGGGAGGTAAAACAGATGCCCAGGCAGAGATGAAGGCAGGGTATAAGGGCAAAGCAGCTGCTGAGATGAAGGAAGGGATGAGGTCGGAATTTAAGGCTCAAGGAAAAGATTTCAACCATAAGGCTGAGTACAAGGGTGCTAAATCTACACGTAAAGAGAAGGCTGCTAGTGATACCTGGTTCTGGGCTGGGGAAGATTCTGGTATCAATTCCTGGTTCTGGAAGGGAGAAGAAGTTAGTTATAGTTCTGTTGCTAAGTGTGAAAATAAAACTAACACTGGTACCCAGGGCCGCACTGAGGAGTCAGAGCCTACACATAGGGCCAGCCACAGGTCTAGGTCAGGGGCTGAGGAGGAGGAGGAAGAAAATGTTATTGGGAACTGGTTTTGGGAAGGAGATGACACTAGTTTTGATCCTGATCCTAAACCTGTGTTCAGAATAGTTAAACCTCAACCAGTGGATGAAATTAATGAGAAAAATAGGCCAAAGGACTGGTCTGAGGTTACCATTTGGCCCAAAGCACCTGCTGTAACTCCAGCAGTGTTAGGTTATAGGTCTCAGGACTCATCTGAGTCAAGGCCTTCTTCATATATTGTTCTGGCCTCAAATGAAGAAGAAACTTCAACAACAGCCTCTACTAAGAATGCTCGATCAAACCAGCAGCCTATACCCGAGTATCCATTTGGTTCTGATCCTTGCATCCAGACGTTAGATGAGATTAGACAACAAATCAAGATCAGAGAAATGAATGGCATCAAGCCCTTTGCTTGCCCTTGCAAAATGGAGTGTTATTTGGATTCTCCAGAATTTGAAAAGCTTGTTAACATACTTAAGTCAACTACCGATCCCCTCATTCATAAAATAGCACAGATAGCAATGGGTATACATAAAGTTCATCCATTTGCCCGGGAATTCATTAATGAAGTGGGTGTGGTGACACTTATTGAAAGCCTGCTCAGTTTTTCTTCCCCTGAAACTAGAAAAAAGACTGTTATTACTATGAATTCTTCCGGGGATGAAAGACAGCACAAAGTTGAATTTCATGTTAAGCATATGTGTAAAGAAACGGTGTCTTTCCCCTTAAACTCACCTGGCCAGCAATCCGGATTGAAGATAATAGCACAGCTAACTACTGAGTCTGTCCATCACTACATTGTAGCTAGTTACTTTTCAGAGTTTTTTCATTTGCTGTCCCAGGGAAATCGTAAGACTAGAAATCTTGTTTTGAAAGTATTTTTGAATATGTCCGAAAATCCAAAGGCAGCCAGAGATATGATCAATATGAAGGCATTAGCAGCATTAAAACTCATCTTTAACCAAAAAGAGGCAAAAGCAAATCTTGTTAGTGCTGTGGCCATCTTCATTAACATAAAGGAGCATATTAGAAAGGGTTCAATTGTAGTAGTTGATCACTTGAGTTACAGTACACTTACTGCCATATTCCGTGAAGTTAAAGGGATTATTGAAAGAATGTAAAATGATCCAGAAATGAAAGAGAACACTGAACAGTGTCCAAATTCTGATTGGCTATACATTCCCAAAGAGTTTTGCATACAATTTTGGTAATAACTGCTCACACATTTTGTCTTAACATCTTTTACAAATTATTACCTGTGGCAGGTTCTAGCTCAAATCTAAAACATTTTTGGTGTATCAAATGAATATTAAATATTGAGATAAACAAGTTGTTGATTTCTATCTTATTTAGATTAGCAGATTTTTAACATAATTTTACTTAAGAAAATTGTGATCTAGCTGTCAGAAGTACAGTGTCCTGATGATTGATATCTGCTTAGATCTGTTTGTGGCTCCAGATAGCATAAAAGAAACTACTGGTATTGTAATCTAGTTACAAAAATAAGATGTACAAAAATAAAAATAACTGATGGTACCTACACTGTGTGTTTGTACATATGATATATACACATATATGCCTATTGCCAAATGTACCCTCTTGATGCAAAAAGGAAGCAGGTTACTACAGGCTATTAAATATAAAAGTAATTTTCATTACCCTCTTATTCCAACTATATCAAACACTCATTACAGAACAAAAAATGGTCCTGAATTACATAAAATCTAGAGTGTATAATTCAAATTTTTAGACTGTTTCATTTGTGTCAGTCATTTCAGAGATGAAAAAGGGAGGTAGACATGAAAAGTATTCTTTATTATTAGTTGCCCACTATTAGATTGACATAATGTTTTATAAGCTGATTCCTTTTATGGTAATCCTGTCAGCTAGTTAAGTAATATTTTGTTAGATATCATCCCAAGCACCCACCAATCAGAATATAACCAATAAATACTTTTTCCAAGCTCCTCACAGCTGGCAGGTGGCACAGGTGATTTTTGGCATTCTAGAACCGTCTCACTATACTACCTTAACACATTCCCCTTTTTAGGTGATGATAGTCTTCACAGCACAGAGACTATTTCAGGTTTAGGATTAGTTTAATTTTGTGATGAATAATGTTCCCTTCCAGGTGAACAAGTTTTAGCTTCCTCCAAAAGCATGTCCACTAGGCATTCGGCCTTATCTGGCTAGAGGTCAGGAGGAAAGTAGGAGGTGGATGTATGTATTTCCCAGGCAGTATATTGGAAATCGATATCCCAAACTTTGTTTTGTAAATAAGATGTAGATGTAGGAGTCATAAAGAACGGAACTTTGATCCTATCTTTCTGTGTGAACTTTTTTTTTTCAAAGAGCCAGAATCATTTTATACACCAGTGGTTCTCAATCTTCCAAATGCTGTGGGCCTTTAGAACAGCCCCTCTTGTTATGGTAATCCCCGGCTGTAAAATTACTTTGTTGTTATTTCATAACTAATTTTGCTACTGTTACAAATTGTAAATATATGATACACAGTATACCTGATGTGCAACCTCTGTGAAAGGGTTATTTGATCCTCAAAAGAGTCCTGACCCACATGTTGAGAACAACTGCTATATACTGTTTTATAGCATGCATTAAGAAAGCTAACTACTTTTATTTTTCTTGCGAAGTCATAGCCATAATTTTAAAGGAATTGTGATTTATTCATGTATTTCATGAAAGGCCAAATGTTTCTAATAGGCAAGTCCATTGTATTTCAGCTTCCTAAAATTGAGAATAAACTTAGTGGGAAAGACTTAGACTCACAACTGCAGCTTCAGCAATATATGAGACGAAACCAAGGACAGAGGTTGCTGCTTCATTTTATAGATAGTATTTTCTAGAAGTCTGTATTTTCCAGAAAGCTTCTCAGCACTTTGAGGTTTATGACTGATTTCTCCAACACTCATGATAGGAATTACAAACCCTAGTCTAAGATAATAGAGAAAAATTTATGTGTGAGACCATCAAGTTACTTGCTTTGAGATTTTCAGTCAAGAAATAAAGCATGCGTTAGGTACTATTTGTAATGTTCATGTTAATGTCCTATACAATAATTTAAATCATCTTATGTTTTTCTTTTCTACATATAGTGTGATCTTCCATTTACATATTCTTTTCTTTTCTTTTTGGTTTTTCAAGACAGGGTTTCTCTGTGGCTTTGGAGGCTGTCCTGGAACTAGCACTTGTAGACCAGGCTGGTCTCGAACTCACAGAGATCCACCTGCCTCTGCCTCCTGAGTGCTGGGATTAAAGGCGTGTGCCACCACCGCCCTCCATTGCATATTCTTACATAGTGTACAAATTTATTCATTTCAAAAATTGGAGTACAGTATTGAATTTGCCTTTTCAACTGATCAGTTAGCTATCTTTACAAATTAGCATGTAAATATACCACATGCTTTTTAATAACTTTATTGAAATGTAACTGATACACATTAAACTGAACATTTAAAGTGCACAATTTTTATGACCCAGCCTTGAATACTTTCCATACACGAGACTATAAAAGTTCTGTCAGACATAGAAATGCAAGCCATGTATAACTCATCTTGTTACTCAAACTGTCCAGAACTTTGCTCAAAAGCAAAGAAACTTTCACACGAATCAGTTGTTTTGTTGTTTCCTGTACTTGTAGGGAATCTTATTTCAGGCTTCAAATATTGTCACAAAGTGCACCATTTGATAAGTTTTGACATAAAACATAGCCATCACCAAGATGCCTCATTGTAATGCCTTATTCCTATCCTGGGGGAACTACTGATTTGCTTTCTAGCAACACAATCAAGTTCTCTTAATGCTCTAATATAGAAAAGAAAGCATGGAACATTTACTTATGGAAGGGATATTAGCTTAGTATCACTCAACATAGTTATTTCAGTTTCATCCATGTTGTGTGTCTTATGAGTGTATCAATTTTAATGCTAAATAATAATTCACTGTGTCTTTACCATAGTAAAGACTGTCAGTTGGCATTGCGTTCTGATCTGAGTTATAGAAAATAAAAGCTACTGTGAGAACTGATGTGCAAATGTTTCTTGAAATCTGCAGGCAAATGGATGGCATTAGAAGAAACCATCCTGAGTGAGGTAACCCAGTCACAAAAAGAGAAACATGGTATGTACTCACTCATATATAGATTTTAGAATGAATCAGGAGAGTGCCAGAATACTCACTGCCAGAGAGTCTGGGAAACAGAACCTTCATCCAGTGACTGATGAAAGCAGAGGCCGACACCCTCAGTTAAACACTGAACTTAACTCATGGAATCCAGTTGCAGAGAGGGAAGAGTGATGAGCAAAGGGGTCAAGAGTGGGCTTGTTTAATCCACAGAAACAGCTGACCTGAACAAGGGGGGAGCTCTTGGACCCCAGACTGATGGTTGGAGGCCAGCTTGGGACTTATCCAGATGTGGGTGTCAGTGAGGAGGCCTACGTAATCTGTAGGGCCTTGGGTAGTAGATCAGTATTTATCCCTGGCATACAAGTAGATTCTGGGTGCCCATCCCACAATGAGGGATGCTCTCTCAGCCTGTACTCTTGGGGGAGGGTCTAGGCCCTGCCCTGGGTAAAATGACAGACTATGGATGGATACCCCCCATGGAGGGCCTCACCCTCCCTGGGGAAATGAGTAGTGTTTGGGTGGGGGACGGGGGGGGGGAGACGGGGGAGGAGGGGAGGGAGATGGAGCTGGGATTGACATGTGAAGCAAGCTTGTTTCTAATTTAAATAAAAAATCTTAAAAAAACTGATTTACTGATCAGTCCCATGGTGGCCTCTCAACCATCAGTCTACGGTCCATGAACTCCCCCCTTGTTCAGGTCAGCTGTTTCTGTGGGTTTCATCAGCTCAGTCTTGACCCCCTTGCCCATCACTCCTCCCTCTCTGCAACTGAGTTCCAGGAATTCAGTTCAGTGTTTAGCTGTGGGTGTCTGCCTCTGCTTCCATCAGCTACTGGATGAAGGCTGTAGGATGACATATAAGGTAGTCGTCAAACTCATTATCGGGGAAGGGCATTTAAGGTAGCCTCTCCACTATTGCTTGATTGTTAGTTGGTGTCATCCTTATAGATCTCTGGAAATATCACTAGTGCCAGATCTCTCCTCAAACCTATAATGACTCCCTCTATTATGGTGTCTTTCATCCTGCTCTCCTCTATTCATCCCCTGACTCAACCTTCCCGGTCCCCCATGTCCTTCTCTCCCCTCCTCCTCTCCCCCTCTCTTTCTCCCAGCTCCCTCTCCCCTCCCCCATGCTCCCAATTAGCTCAGGAGACCCTGTCCCATTTCCCTTCTCTGGAGTACCATACATATCTCTCTTAGGGTCCTCCCTGTTTCCCAGACCCTTTAGTGGTGGAATTGTAGGCTGTTAAAAGTGATTTATTTTTGTTTGGGGATGTATTAGGTGATTTAGAGGAGGGTTTAAGGAAGTGAGGTTTTGTGGTAGACTAAAATGGTGTCAGGAAGCCTGAGTCATTCTCCGACTTAGTATCTAAATAAATTTTGTTTTCGAAGTTTGAAAGACTGGACTAAGACTAAAGGTGGTAAACAAGTAACATTACTACTATTAGCTAAAATGGAATATTTTGTCATATTTGTGATTGGAACAATGTTTTGTATGTTCATAAATGATTACATAATGGCCCCGTTTTTAGTCTTGATATATCACAGACACAGAGAAGCCTTCTCTGATGTTAATGTTTTACAAACAGATGTTAAATCAAAAGAATGTCAAGGAGGACTGGCAAGGAGTGCCAGACCAGTTCTTTGATCTCTGAAGCATTTTTAGACTTGACTTGAAATTAGTTTACAGAGTAGTACATTTCCATATGGGTTTTTCACGTAGCCTTTAATTAGGTTAACACTTCCAATATCTCCCCTATTCCCTTACCCACATCCTGGCTTAAACCTTCCCACCCTCAGTATTCCCTCTTACTGCTTGCATATCACTTATGTCCTAGTATACCCTAAGGTCTCTCTAGCCTCAGTGATCTCTTTCTAAGAAGAAAGTATCTGACCTTTACAGGTACTCCACGTTAAACACACAATTCTAAAGATTTAAAGCTAGGATCCACATATGAGGAAGAACATGCAGCACTTGTCTTCCAAGATTATAAAGACTAGTTGTTCTTAGCTATCCACCAGAACTCTTGATAAGTTCCTATTGCTGATGACACCACCGCATACCTTGAATGCAAGATACAGAAAACAAAGCTGGAACTGAGGTTGGAACTTCCTCCCTGCTGGCTAGTTTTCATAGTACCAGTGCTATGCACTCTTTGGTAAAAGTAGAAGAAACAGTGGTCTCTGAGTTGCAATGCCAACCTTCCAGGTAAGAGGTGCTCACTGTCAAGACTATTATGGAGTTAACCAACTGCTCCATAATTAGATTTGAGGCCTGCATCACAAGAGGAACTCTGTATTATTCATTTAGTCCAAAATTTGTTACCTTGTCACCGAGGAGGTCTTAGGCTCCGGGGGCTACTCAATACTGCTGTTTAGCTAAAATTAAAAGCATCAGT